GTGAAAACGGAAGCGAAGAACTCGTTAAGTATACTGGCCATATCCTTATCACTTGCAATCAACTCCCTCTTTTCGTTCATTAGCGGCCCGATCGACTGTTGACACCTACCACTAGCATACTGATAAAAAGCCTTAGGGTTCTTCTTAGCATCGCTAGCCAGCCGTTCCTCGACCTCCCGTCTCGCAGATCTTATTTCCCGCTTCAACTTCCGCGTGATCCTCCTATATTCCTCATAGTCCGCGCTATCTCCCGTCCGCTTGTACGCATCCCATTTCCGCTTTTTATCCCTGATGAGAGCTTTGATTTTACCCGTAAACCAGACCGGTTGCCTGCCCGATTTTATGGATTTCTTGGGGATGCATTCCTCCATAAAGCCCTGGACGTGTAAGCCTGTAAGGTATAAAAAGCGGTTCAAGGCAACGGTGAACTCCGAAAGTTTTTGCATATGATCGTCTTTACTCGGATAAAAATTCTCAGTCCAGGGCATGAGAAGGCCGCAAACTTTATTAGAGCAATAGCTTAACACATGTGTTAAGCTATTGCTTATACATATACTTTTCCGCATGGTCTCACCCAACGTTCATGCACTCTTACCATCGCTGCATACGCTTCAGCATCCCTTACCTGAAGAAAGACACGAACTGTTTTTACCCATCGGTTCGCCGCGGTTTAAACGCCTTCATCGCTTCTGGACTCGCAACCATGCAACCCATCGTTTATTGGGGGAAAGGAAAAAAGACAATCGCAGGGGGATAAAGTCCGAACTGCGAGGTGGATGTTGCAGTCTCTCCCTCCCTCTGAGAACCGCGACGGAGTCGGGAGTCTGCCGCGCGGCGTGGTGCTGTGCATTGTCCAGCTGGAGAGTGATCTCTCTCTCAAGAAGTTCAGAGTAATTGTGTTCCACATGCATTTCCAGGATGTATGCACCTGTGTAATGTCCTCCATAGAAATATTTTTTCAGAATTTTTCCCCTTCTCCGGTTTAGCCACAGAAGTACTTGGAAGGTTGCGACTGAAATGCCTGGAAATCCCCGCCCCTTCGCCTCTCGCCCGGTTCGCTTCATCGCTTTCGCGCCGATTTATTGCGTCGATTTTGATTTTGGTGTCTAAGTCAGACAGAGCTGCGCGAATGCATCATGCCTAGACCATTGGGTGCGCTGACTTCATCCACCGAACGATTCTTGAATGGGAGCTGCGGTTCGATGCTGTCGTCCGGGCTCAAAGACACCATGCATCAATTTGAGCGAGTCTCCTCGGCCTCGTGGGGATTTCCGAATCTCTAATCCTCGAACTTCAAAGTGCTCTCAAGGCTAAAACCGGAATAGGAAATAATCAGAAGGGGGGGGGGAGGAATTCTTATAGGATGCCACATATGGAGACAGATTTTCGAGATGACTGTCGCCTCGACCGCTCGAAGATTTGCCGGAAGATTGGCTCTTCCGGGGTGAGAAACTTTATTCTTTGTCTCAATTTTTTTAAATCTTCTTTCGGCCGACCCTTCGGCAGTGCTTGAAAAAAAAATAATGAAAACTCTGTACGATCGCCAAATGCGGTGAAATTCGACCTGTCGTCTTCAAAGGCATCTGTCTTCTAGGGAAGAAAGGAAAAAAAGGTGTATCGCGACCGGAAGTGCTCTTGAGAACGCCCTTCGTGGGACACCCGACGAGGTCGACGATAAAAGAGACGCTCGCGAAGCGACGATCCTCGGGAGAAAAGATTCGCTCGGCTCCTAGGTCGTCGATGGAAAAGTTTCCCGAGTGTCTCTTCCCCTTCCGCTTCTCTTTCTTGCAGGAGGCGAGAAAGTCCGGTTTCGACAGGTCGTCCAAGTGCGGGGAAACCGTCGCACCTTCATCGGAGTGGCCGGGGGGGGGGGGGGGCCTCGCTGTCGTCGTCGATAAGTGAGTTTGGCCCGAATGTTGAAACTTCAATTTAGTGAACGGTCATTTAAGCATCCCTGGACTCCGATAGGAGAAAAAGAGCTCTTTGGCTTAACACGTTAACCGCCAAGGCAAAATGTCCTCTGATGCCAAAAGCACACCGATGTTGCCCATCGATAACTGAGGATACCGGTCACCTGCGAGGCAGTCGACGTGTTTCTCCCCCCCTTTTTCTTCCCTATGTGAGGTTTCTCCGCATTCGGATCTCAGCCGTTGGCGAGTTAAAGGCCCTGTTTGTTCTTTCGCGCGAATGTGTGCCGCGCTGCCCTGTGGGCGTCGGAAGGAAATGTGGGGATCGGGAGAGACCGCGGTTTCGACGTCTTCACTTCGTCGGTAATAATGTAGTACGATATCTAATGCAAATCGAACGAAATCACATATCAAATGAGAATGTTAATTACATTTAGGGACAAATAAACTTTGGCACACCGTCTTTGATATGAACTACGCTTAAAGTTTTATTTGATTTCGGTGTGAATTCCGATCTATAAATTACTTAGATCGAGTTCCAGCGCCTAGAACTAGCCTATAAACACTACGTCCTTTTCCAACGGCCATGATGTCATGTACTTATGTTAGACGGTACTCTTTATAAAAAAAAAACACTTCTCGATAAGCATCTCCCACCAACAAGCTGCGAGCAGCTCTAATGACAGGCGTTATCACGTCACGGAAGTGAATTCATTTCCTCCACTTCCCAGCAGTGGGGGAGGGGGGAGGGGGCAGAGGGAGCATGTGCCCTCCTTTGCCCCCACTTACCTCCCTCCCCTTTCACCAAGTTTCAGGCCCGCCTGAAGAGGGGGAGATGCGCAGAATCGATATTTTAGAAAGAGTAAAGTTCTGAACGACCGATGATAGTGGCCTAATGTGACGATCCCACACACGTTACTATGGCCAGGGATACAAACTACCGTGGAATCGCTCGTGTGAGCCAAGGTGGAATGTTGCTCATGTGAGCCACGGTGGAACCTTTCGTGCGAGTCACGATTTTAGGCGTTTGGAAAGTAAGAAACTCTCACGTTGGCATACTCTGAAGGCGACGCAATGGAGAATGTGGCAACTGTCGCTGAAACGTTCGTCCTTCTCACACTTGTGACAACGCGAACGGGGATCTCCTGGCGAAGGGTCGACCCTCCACGACTCGGTCGGTCTCCTGGAGTTATTTCCCTCGCTTGCAATTTTTGTTTCGCTGATTTTCGCCATTTCCCGCTCCGATTGCGTCACCGGAGGCGTTGCCTCATGAGTCTTTTTTTTTTTTAGCGCTGGCAAGAAAAGAAGGCTGACTGGATACCGTAAATGCACGAATTATCTCATCTGCCTTTTCTAAATTTAATAAATAAAAGGAAGGGACGCCCGAGAGAGATTCCAGCGACAAACGGTTCTTCAGTACTTCCACGACCAATGTATGCAGAGGCATTCGGCGGGAACACACTTGCTGGTCGATGTCACGGGAACATCAACAGTCTCTTCCTTTTTTTTTCCCCAAGAAGAGCCGCTAAAAATGGACTACTCACGAGTGCAAACATGCACATTCGTGACTTCCCGCCATAAATCTCGTTCCCCCGAAAAGGACAATGTCAGAGTCTGGGGGAATCGTACCTCAATCATTCTCCATCCGAGTATACATTTTCTGGAAGGTTTTGTCGAATATGACTATTTCCTTAAGAGTGCATTTTAGATTGGACTTGGCGTTTAGCCGCCAGAGGGCGGAAACTTTCATTTCAAAACCTTCCTTTAAATCGATCATTTTTGCCATGTACCCTAACCAAATCCACCATATTTGAATTGATTGTTGAATCGATGGCTGAAGATGTTGATTCGGTAACATGGGTAAAGGTTGAAGTAGAGGCATTCGTTTTGAAAATCAGCAACTGAACGGCACGTTTAATAGGAACGGTGCGAAAAAATGGAGTTTCATTCGACGAAACCTTTCAGAAATTATGCATTTCCGTTTGGTTATCATTTGAGCTTTCTTCCTCGGCTCCTCTCCGATTCGCTTCGAGCTCGTTAATCAAGCCCCGCTGATGAATCCGAGAACGAATGAACCCCATTCGTTCTGAAGACGGATCTTCCCGAAGATTTCTCGGGGGGAAACGAGCGGCTGAACTTGCATCTTCAACTCGTTCCCGGATTTCTCTGGATGGAACTTTTCCCTTTTCCAAAACTTTTCTTTCTTCGACTCCTAGCCGTCTCCGATGAGGACTTTGGGGACGGGGCAATCGACTCGTCGTCAGGCGATCGCTAGCATTTTTTCGTGGTTTGTTTGACTGGCTGAAGGAGGCAATGGGGACGAAGTATGATGAATATCACTCTTGCCCCAGAGGCGACGGGTATGACGTCAAACGTCATAGAAGAGCTTTCATTGGGAACGAGAGAGCCTTCTTTCTTTCTTCCTCTCTTTCTTTCTTTCTCCTTCCTTTCTTTCTCTCTTTTCTCTTTTCTCTGATCCACTTTTATCCTGCTTTACGCGGGTCTCTTTGAACGCAGCCTCCAAACACGGCACTGGATGCGAATCTCTCGAGACTTCCACGGTCGCAGCCCACCACCGTTTTCGGAAAATTTCTGCAAAATTCCCGGAAATGCTAAAGAAGAACTCAAACGATGAAAGTCACGTGAGACCCGATTCCCTCTTCTCTTTCCTGGAAGCGTCGACATGTCCTGCGAAGGGACAGGAATGCAAGAGCAGGGCCAAAGGATCGGATAAACATCGATCCAACACCGTGCTAACATCGGTCCACCGTCCAGCCGTCACCCGCGATGCAAAACGGTTCCTGGAGATCCCGGCAAACGTTTCACACATTCCCTGCATCGAACACGGCAGATGCGAAACTTCGCATCTCGTCGTTTCCACCGAGAATCGTGAAAAGATACTCTCTCCTCTCAACTTGTATAGCGTTTCCTTCATTCCCGATAACCAGAATACGGAGAGAAGAATCGAAACGATCGGAATGTGGTAAACAATACCGACGAATGGAATGATTTCAAGGCAGGCATATCAGCAGGCAGGCTCAGAATTAGACAAAGATGAAGGAAATTCGTTTTCTTCCGCCTGGGGATGGAGTTTTCGAGAATGAGATCAACTGAAAGAACCCAAAGCATTATTCTTCGGTTGAAGCGTTTTTCATGAGCCAATCACAGCACAGGCAACACCAACAAAGCAATTATTAACCAATCACAGAGCAAGTTTGAGAAGCGGTCCAGCCAATCAATCAATCAATCGACGATCAGACAGACGAACGGACAGAGGACTCTGACTCCAACATCGTCGCCGGGACGTTCCGAGCATTAAAATAAAAAATCAAATTCACCAAGAAGGAAAAAAAACCAAACCCCAGATGGAACGAGAACCGGATGGAAAGTAATGGAAAGATATAAGAAGTGGGAGAACCCTGTCGCGGTGTCTGTCTGACGAGGCTTCACATGCCGGATTCCATGCTGCCCCCACTGTTCTTCTTCTGCACGGCTGGGAGACTGACCAAGGAAGAAGTCCCAAACAGTTTATACCAGCCGATCACGATATTCGACAGGTCCAGGTCGTCCAGCATGATCTGGGCCGCTCCCATGAACACTTTCTTGCCTTCCATGCGACCGTAGTCCCCCCATACCGTCACCTGTATCGCCCCAAAATGAATTTTCCTTATGTACTAATGTACTAGTACGAAATGCCACCAAGAAGGTGCAATTACAAAGGACAAACATGTTCAGAGCTTAATAATTGAAGTTCTTAAAACGGTTTCGTGAACCATAATCGCCGGCATTATCCTCCAAAGTTTCTGGAATGACAACTGCGAGAATGGGGGCCGTCTTACCTGAAGCACACATCCTTTATAAGGCTGATGGAAGGGGAGAAGTTCTTGATAAAGGGGGTCCAGCGTCCTCCTCGCCGTTCCCGTCTTGTTCTTCTCGATGCACTTCTTCCCGTCCACAAGGTAGACCTTCACGTACGGAGCTGCAAGAGAGCCACACAGATCCTGCCACTCTGCGTCCGTCACGAACTGCGAGTGAAACACGCCATGGACGCACCTGGAAGAACCTTCGCGCCGAGCTTCGCCTGAGTGAGTCCTCGGGCTCGGATCACTTCCACTTCCAGCTTCCCCTTCCGATCGCAGAGGGACAGCTGGATGTCGCCGAGAGCGGGGGCGGCGAGGACTTGCCTGCCCACCAGCTGTCCCGGGCCCAAGCCCTCTACGAAATCAGACAGCTCTCCTTCCCCTTGCAGTCTCAGGTTCGGGATCCAACTGGAGTGAGGGGGGACACAGAAACAAAGAACGTGTACTTCCTCGCGCTTCACTCTTCGCTCATTCAATGACAAGAAAGACCTTGGAAGCTCCTCACGATAAAACTTATAGCGTTATGACAACTTTCTACGTTTTACTACTGTACTTTCTCTCACCCGGCCTCACAAAGAAGGATCGAGGAGTTCCTTTACTTCCTAATTCTATTCACTGAACACTACCCTGAAAGGCTAGCATGCATATGAAAGTGTCTGTGAGCCGTCAAAGGTGTTTCATGCAACACTGCATCTCAAAAGCTCAATGTAATGGAGACATATACCGAGTTTAAGGCAGAATGTAAATGTGGGTGGGCATGAGTGTTGTGATTTTCTTTCCTATCTCACTGATGTGTCTGATTGTGCAGTGTGACAGCTCAACTGATGTACTATGTAACTATGCAGTACAGTACTCAAGTTCCATCATGCAAGCCTCTAGCAGTTACAACCCAAGCATGCTATATGAAAGACAGTCTCAAGCTCAGAACGAGGAGTCACGGATGTCTTTTCCTCTGCTTCGTCCACTTTTCGTGGCTCTCTTGGTTCTTATTATAATTTCTTTTCTCTGTTTCTCTGTCGTGATGTGTGTGGGAAATCGGTTGGGGGAAGATCGGGTGGGTCACAAAAACGGGCGTACCTCGAAAGGGAGCCCTCAGAACTAGCGCTATTGAAGGAGACATCCGAGTCTCGAGACGGTTGCTTGTGCAAGGTGGCCGACCGAGCCGGGCGACATGGGTTGACCTCCTCACTTCTGGGAAAAGCGCTCTGACTACCACTCTGACTACCACTCCGTCTGCCCCTACTCTCTGCAGCAATAGAGGGGAACCAACAACTCACGCTACGCAACAAACAAACAGCAACACTGCAGTGCAAACCAAACCGAAAAAGAAAATCATAAGAAAGTTGTCCATCTAAGAGATATTCATCCAGGTGTCGGCGACCGCACGGTCATGCAACACCGTTCTCGCACATGGATGTGTGTGTGGCACGAGATATATACTCTGCATGGATTATGTTATCTCTTTCTACAGGCCAGGCCATGGTCAGGTCAGGCAGGAATGGGAACCTTTCTTCGTCTTCGGCGTCTGGATCGGCATCGGAAGAGCAGGAGGAGGGTTGGGGCTGGACCGGGCCTGAGCGACTTCCTGAAAAGTCTGGGTACACCTCTTCACTTCTCTGGACGGCGAATGAGGTCTTGCCACGTCGGCCGAAGACCAAGCGGCGCTTTTGACCTGATGTATCATATCATAGGTACATACATACATACACATACCACCGTCATCATGATACATATTTTCCCGTTTGGCAGGTTTCACGCCTCTGGACAGGAAAAGAGATCCCAAGATCCTTGACCATAAATGCAGGATGGACACATATCTTACCTGTGGCAGAAAGTTGAGAAGTGGAAGAGGATTTCTTGCCCATGCCAGGAGCTCCCATGAAGGAAAGTCCGATCCTGGCTTTCCCACTAGCACCACTCGAAGGAGTCAACGCTCCTCCACCACTTGCACTCAGGCCACCGTCCCCACTCCCACCGCCTCCGGGGGTATCCGAGCCACCGCCTCCCAGAGCTCCGTCTGAGAGGCTACCATCCCCTTTCTCGCCCGTCTCCGCACTCATGCTTCGTATGAAACGCTGTCCCCTCCTCCTGCATGGCATCCGCAAGGTGGTCAGGAGAAATTCCCTCGAGATCGAAGGATTCCTTCGAAGCAGAACTGACCCGAAGTGAAGGCGCGCAGCTCCTCGCTCACTCTGCGTCGAGAAGGCACTGACAACACTTTCAATATCTGAATCTCCAATGTCACCTGAAGTGGTCAGGTCTTCAGGAGATACCCCTGAACCTTCTTCCCCTCCTTGGTACGCACCTAAGAAAATAATTATTTTTAAGGCATTGCACTGCAGATAAGATGAAAACAACAATGGGAAATCTCATCGAGAGGTAGGAGGGGGAAATGACCTGGAGGAGGGATTCTATAAGAAGAGGGAGCACCTCGGCTTCGGAGCCTCATCTTGAGAGCTATGGCTCGTTCGTTCAAGGACTGAGCCACCCGATCCTTGGATGCCTTGCGGAGACCGGCCGGGACGATGGGAAGTTTACGCTTCTTGGGAGACGCGATCGGCGTGCCGGCAGCCGACCGCGTTCCGCTGCCCCGAGTCCATTGGGTTTCTTGAACTGGCGGGGAGAGGGACCTGGACGCGTGCTCGTGTCCCTCGTACACTCGACCGCTGGGACCTCGTTCTCGGCTGCGGGAAGTCCGTGGTCCGAAGAACGGATCTCCTGGAGGCGCGTCTCCTTCCAACACTTTCCTGGAACATGGAAGTCATCACCTCGTGACGTTTTCTGGATCAGAGCCAAATGGCATCCCATGCATGCTATACGCACCCTGCTGCGGGGTTCCGCCGAGAAGACTCTAAAGGGGGGCTGCTGGAACTGGCTACACTGGAGCCGTCAGTCCTCCTGTGCACGATCCCAGTTCCACTGGTATCTTCGTCCAATTCCGAGATTTCCGAGTCAGAAAGTCTGGAACTGGTGGAAGGCGGCGAGAGATGGTCGGATCCAGGACGATGCTGCTGGTTGTCGTGTCCTTTAAGGTAATACCACTCAGGCTCCTCGTTCAGAGGAGCTTCACTAAGTTCGATCATGACCTCGCCGAGAAAGTCGTTCACTCCGTAACGGTCATAGTCCCAAACCGTGACGTGCAAGGTTCTCGAGCGCAGTTCCGCTCTCCGTAACGGAGAATAGACGAAAGTCTGCCTCCATTTTGGGTTGCAAGTGTTCGCTAGCGTCTTTGTGCGTCGCTTCGACCTCTCACTGAATAAGCAAGAAAGGGAAAGCAGAGAGTAAAATGAAAATTATAACTTCCTCTGTATCGAATATCAAGGTTTGAAAGAAAGTCAGACCTGGTATCAGGCAGGAGAAGCATCTTTGCATAGGGGTTGCGAGGTTGGTCGTTCTTCCTCGGGGGCAGATCCACAGCACAGACCATGGTGACGACGAGCTGATTATTCTGGAGGTCGAACCAGAGCCGGACCTGCACCCTCCCCCCAAGAGTCGGGGTATTGGATCGCACCCTGAGAGTGTCCGAGCCGGGGACTCTCCCCGACGGGCCTCGGACCCCCCTCCCGTAGTCGAGGCTCCTTCCACTCGGCAACTCCATCGCTTCTGCGCGGTCCCACAGCGTCATGAGAATATCAGCCATGCCAAATGCGTTCCACTTTCCCTCCCCAATCGTTCCAGTATGATGCACAATTTATCATGTTTGTCTCCGTTGAATCCTTTAATCTAACGCTAAAATCTATATATTTTTTCAGGATAATACATTGTTTCACTGGTTCTAACAGATGCAATACAAAATTCTTTCCTCACTCGTATGGGAAATGTGAGAACTTTATGCTATGTACCTCATGATATATTAAATTTACATAATCAAAATTTGCCAAAAACCATGATAAAATCTATTTTCCAGCCTCTTTCCCACGTCTTACTTTGAAAAGGAATTGGAACTCCCCTCAAGCTACCTGAATGGGAAGTGATGCCTGCGTGGGTGTTGCGACGATGTTGTCTCCCGACGTCGCTCATCGCCCTGCACACCATCAGTTCCACCTGGGGCTCTTGCTTGCTCTCCGCTATGATGTCGTACACTTCCTCGAAGGTCTTGCCTTGCAAACTCCTCCCGTTCCACTCCAGCACTTCGTCTCCTGGGGGACAGATGCAGGTAACGCTTTATTTCATTGGATTCGTGGATATATCGCCGTTAGCGGAGACTTCAGCCGTGTTTTGGTGGAGAGTGAAAATAGGTCTCGTGATATGTATTATTCATATAAACATTGTAAAACACGAAATTATATGGCACGGCAGCAGTTTCGAGTTTGCTTCTTGTGTCTCTCTTATCACTGCCATTTTAAAAGTTGCAAGTCAAAGCTCCATCCCAAACTGTTAGAAGCGAGAGACCAGAAATTGCATGAATATGATATCAAGTTAAAGGCAGAAGCCTCCTTGAATCATTCCAACGTCGTCATCATTTTGAGAGTAGCATATTTTTGTATATTTTATTTACAAACGTGCGTATAATTGCTCTGAGCCAGAACATTTCGGTATAAAGGGTTATACTGTAGATCGAAGAATGTGTAGTTGGGCGAAGGGTGTAAGCTTGCTTTTTAAATATCGGCTGGCTTGCTGGAGCTGAGGTCGTACAAGATCACGGACACAAGATGAATATGAAACAAAGTCCAAATCCCTTTAGTAAAAACCAGAGAGAAAATTGTTTGAGATCACGTTCCCAAAGCACAGGGGCAACACCTCGGGTCGTAATAATCGCCAGTGAAATGTAGTATCAGGTTGTAAAGGTGAAATTTAGACATTTCGATTTTTTCTAGAAAAATCTGGAAAATGTTAGAACTTTCTATGTAGGTGTATAAGTAGAGTNGAAATTTAGACATTTCGATTTTTTCTAGAAAAATCTGGAAAATGTTAGAACTTTCTATGTAGGTGTATAAGTAGAGTGACCAGTGGGCATTGTGGGCGTGAGTGCTTATCGTGAACCTACAACAGATACATTGACGCAAGACTACACTCTAGTCGTTGTTGAGTTAACTGTCAATAAATTGTTTTCTGGAAAACGTCTAAATTTCACCTTTACAACCTGATATAAGTCATTGGCTCGAGTCCTGTAACTTATTGCGTAAGGAAAAAAAAGGACAGGTTGGGAAAAGATGAACGTATGCTGGTATTTTGAAACATTGCCGAGAACCCCATAATCCACTCCATTAGTGAACTTGTTGCTTAGTTTAGACATTTTGTGTCACTTAATGCATGCGAAAAGGAAAGGAATACTGCTGCCATCTACTTGACTGGTCCTGGAGAGGAACAATAAGTGTCAAGTATTCCTCTAAATGCAAGGGAAATGGATGATCAGCATCATCATAAAACAATAATCACCTCGAGGTGCCAATACTTGATCATAATATCCACGGCAGAAAAAAAAACGCATAAAAAACGCCTCGTCACAGAAGAAGCAAGCACACCACGAGTTCCTTGGTGCATTTTCTTTCACCTAGCTACGCTTGAGAGCAAACTCCAATCTCACATGTCAAATCCCCCAAGATACATTCCCCCGGGAGATGCCACCCAAAATAGCACCGTATGCTAGGACGAATCGAAATACGCTGCAATTGCCAAGATTGGTATTATTACTTGACAGTGAGCACTTGCCATCCCAGAAAATAGGCATCAAAATGATCAGACAACTCCATTATCACTCCATTTCTCGAAATTGGTCTAGTTATTTTTGCAATTTTCAGTACTCTTTTTTACTCGTGCGTTCTTGGAAACCTTGAGAAGGAATATAATGCTGAAGTACATCCATATGTGCCTCAAGAGATGACTCATGACTAGCTGCTTCGTTGATTTTTAATAGCGAATGGATTCAACACTTCCCTCAATGCACTTTTCAGTACTGTGAGTACCAGGAACTTCGCACCTCAGACTCTCCGAGAGTCCGTATCTTGCGACGTCCATCTGTGCCTCATTTTCGCAAATCTGCCCGAGTGCTTCTGCGCTATATTACCCCATGAGTTGATATGTACCGCTCATTACTTCCAGAACTTGCACGCTGATTGATGATGAAAAGCACTTCGGAGCCACAAAGCAAGTCCATCGCTATCTCATCTACCAAAATCCGTCCAGTGACTTGTGCTCTAGATTTGTCTGAATCGTTTGTCGGAATTTAACTGGAGATTGCTCCAGGACGATAAGCTATTTAAGGGTGTGAAGTACTTTTCAGTCCTTTCTGCCTTTTCTGCAGGTACTTGTGACGAAAAAGGCGCAGCGAAATCCAGAGGCAAGTCGTTTGTGTTTTTATCGAAATCCAACCAGCGGCTTTTTGTTGTAGCTCAGTTTGCGTCTGTTCGGCAAATAAGTATTGACAATACTTTTTCAGTTAAATTGATATTTGTAGCCTGGAAATAGTACACCCCTGCGCCGAGGCGAGATCCATCTCATTATCGAAATCAATAGAGAAATTTCTAGTATGGGTTATGTAATGGTCCGTGAGAGGTGACGTTGAATGGGAAAGGAACATATTCCCCTCCGATTCCTACTGTAAGGCGCTATCGCTCCTTATAATGGAGAACATATTTCATTCATGCACGTAGAAGACGATTGAGATCATGAGACACGACAGCGAGCCAGTTCATTGTGGCCAGAATCGAAGAGGAATGTGGCCATTCCCTATGCAACTTCCCACCATTGAAACTCGCGTTCGTGGTCATGCTTTAACTGTAAAATTGGTACTCTACTTTCCCGAAGTCTCTGAAGAAGGTCTCTACGCGTTATTAACAGCGCTTTTCCGAACTGAAATTACTGAAAGACACAGTCATTAGTGTACTAAATCATTCTAAACCAAGAAAACGTTCTGTTTAGATTAGTGCGCTCAAAGGAAAGTATTTTTGCAGCACCTAAGACTGTCAGAGTACTGAAATCACTGAAAAGTACGTACAACTGAGCCGCCCAAAAGTTGCTCTGGAGAAGCTAAAGGACCCATTTCGACGAATGAGGCACCAATAGACTGGTCTCGTCCTTATTTACCTGTTCTGTAATTACTGTACTGAAAGAATACTGGCAATACTAAAAAGAAAACCTTTGAAGTATTGATCTCATGTGAATATACAGGGTGTCCCAAAAGTGACTGTGCACTAAGTGCACTATATTGTATATACCAGGAGCACATTGATTTCTGGGGCACCCTGTATAAGGGATATATTGACTTTGGTCTCAGTAAAAGGGCGGGTCTTTCAGGGCGAATTACAAGTGAACAAGCACTGAAACGTACGCATAAATGGAAACTCAATAGGTCCTTTGATTGCGAAGATTACAGGGCCAACGTCGACCTGCGAGGTTTCGATGGACTTGTATGGCCCTAATGGTGCTCCTGTCAAGGGTCGCAAGTACTGAGCTCCTAATATCAGTGTAGGAATGTACTTCCAGTGAAACAATGAATTATTCAGAACAAAGGATGAGTCGCCACGTTTCAGGAGACGGGTGCATCTAAGCCCGAAAAACGGTGGAAATTATGAATACGTCAAAAATGTAAAACTTAGTTCGTGTTTTTCCACTCGAGAGGGAGAGGACTGCCATATTAAACGTCCCAATGAATAAGGGAGAGCCTAATTTTTCCTTCATCTACTCATCCCAGAAGCCCCCCCACCCCCCTACCCCCTCAAATTCATGCCATAGGAAATCCTGGGAAATCCCTTTTTTTCCTTGTATAGTTTTCGTACGGGGTTCCCCTTTCTGACAAGGAAAATATGGAGTGATTAAAACTGTATGGATCAGACAAGGGTACTGAGAAAACCTGAGACTCATTTCAACACCTTGTAATCATTGAATGTCGACCACTTATCTCGCTCATCTAGCTCATCATTTTTACTCGCTTATACGAAGCTGTCTCTCTCCTATAGATAACGGTAGAGCGTTTTATTTTATCACCCTATATATGTCAATGATCTCGCAGCTCTCTTCTTTCTGCAAGCACGAGATGCAGTAAGATACACGAACCACCTCATGTAATTTCCATAAATATAGAGCTCGTGAGAGAAAGGGGGGGGGGGGGGGGGGGCACCAAGAAAAAGTGTGGAGATGTGAAAGCTGATAATGGCTGCATTTCCCCCTCGACTGCTCTTATCTATCTGGAGCTGGACAGATGAGGTAGAAATGAACGCCTCAGAGTCGAATCAGCCAAGCCTAGCGGGGAAATTCGCCAAGCTCCAAAGCATGCCTCCATGAAATAAGCCGAAAGTCAGAAGCTTCAAAATTAGATAGCACATAAGGATTTCAGCACACCTAGTCAGGTAATAGATTGGCCATTTCAACAGTAGTGGAAAAGTTGAATTTTCCTTCGACTTCTCAACGAGATCTGAATTGCAAGGGTTTGTGGGTTGGTCAATTCCAGCTGGACCTATGTCTGTCACATGCTATCGTCACTCGATTAACCTTAATCTGCATGAAGTGAGGTCAAAGAGAGCCCAGACTGCGTTTTTGCTGATGTTTGTATCTAAATATATATATTTTAACTCTCATGGGATTTAGGCTATTCTTCAAGTAGACCTTCCCAATCGAGAATCACACTTGCGCTGAAAAAAAAAATTATTATTATCGTAAGTAATAATTTCCCGTTTGGGTCAAAAAGACCCCAGCAAAGTGTCGTAATTTATTCTGGATATCATACTTATTCTGTTGTTCGGCATTAAAGTTTTTTTTTACGAAAAGTTAGAGCGGGTTCAATCAATGGAGCCAAAATGACCCCACGTCACACTGTTATGAAAAAATTTAGGCTCATGCAGATGAGGATTAAAAGCCCCAATGGGAAAGAAAGACTTAAAGCCCGAACCTTCCGGTGTAAAGCAAAACATGAATCCCACCCACCTCCAAAAAAAAGAGAGAGGCCTGCAGCAGTCAACACTCACATCGATTCCGTTGGCTTACGCCTGGCTTGAGAGCGCCATTTCATTATATTTATCATTGGATGATTATTATGGCATATTGTGGAAATACGGACCCATATTTCATGAACATGTCTCCAGTAAAACATGGGATATTCCTCACTGCACTGTTAAAAACCACGCATCCTGTCAGGGAAAGTGGCTATCAGCCCTGAAAGATTCTATTACGTTTTTTGACCCATTAAGCTTTTAATTATTTGACACTGGCTCAGGCTCACTCGCCTTCTTAATTTCATGCTCTAGACCATGATTGTGGCGGAGCACGATCCTTATAAGGATGAGATTGTCGGAACTGGTGGAAAATTTCCTGGAATTGGAGTAATTTCTTTGCAAATCTGGAGATTTGCAAAGAAATTACTTCCAAGAAATGCGCTGATGCCGATTTCCTGAGATAGAGAATTTCTGAAAAAACTCTCAAAGGTGTGACTGGAGATGATAATACCTCCAACCTTTTCAGCTAATGAATTCAAGAGGTTTTACCTCAGAGGACTCTCCTTATCGCCAACACATAAGGGAAAGTGCAATCTGAGAAAAGATTGCTCCTCGTGGAGGGCATAAGCCAATATGGTCTTGAATGTCTGAACATTCATAACAAAGCGATTATTCTACCCTGAAGTCTTCTTTTCCCGGGTTTGGGAGTGTGATTCCACATCAATCTAACTCTGTTTTTGTTTTTTGTTTTTTTACATATATTACGGATAAAATTCGATTCGCTTTTTTTAATTCATGACTTGGACCAGACCTGGTTTGAGGTGTCCGACGGTGTCGGCAATGGACCCCTTCTTCACCTTCTCGATGATGGCTCCCAACTTCCCATTTTCCAAGATCTTCCCGCCGACGACCTTGAGCCCCAGGATGGCCGCACTGGAGCTGGACCCCCCCGTCTCCGTGAGGCTCTTCTTCAGGATCATGTGCCCGATTAACTTCGTGCCTTCTGGGTCTGGTTTCCACGATACCGGATGCTGCCGGGTCAGTAATGGCAAGCCGTTGCACTAACGCCTTTCCTCATCCACGTGCTGATCCGCAAAGAAGTTCAAGGAGCTGCAATACTTTTCTACAGGCTGGTGAGATCCCGAGGTGAGCTGAAAGTTACCCTGGGTAAGCTGAAAGTCACCCTGGGTGAGCTGAAAGTTACCCTGCTGAGTCAGTTGATATGAAGGGAAGGGGACAAGAGGGGGAGGGAAGAAATTCGACCGGGAACTTCTTTCAGGATTCAGCATTTGTACGGAGTAAAGCACTTCCAAGCCACACAAATACCGAACCGAAAAGGTGAAAAGGAGCAATCAACCAAGCAACAAAACGAAAGTCACCATGGCGAGCATAGCGGCAAAGCGGGATAGCGTGCAGCAAAACAAGCGGCAGAAAGCGACAGAGAAAAACAAGAAAAGAGAAATGGAGGATCCGAGGGGGACAGGGCAGTGGAGGCGGAAGGACGGGAAGAACGATCGAGAAGGAACGGGGAGGGAATGGGAGGCCTTATGCGAGCGTTATGTGGTCACTAAACTCATTCTTGCCCTCTTTCACCTTTCTCCCCCCCATTTTACCCTACTCTTCCTCTGTTCTCTCCACTATAGTAATGCTTTTTTTCTTTCTCTCACTCACTCCACCTGTGCTTGGCGTGCTAGTCGCGACGGAAAGGTGATGGCATTTTGATGGGAGCAAGGGAAGCAAAGGTCACGCTAGGATCGCATTTTCTCCGTCTCTTTCTCTCTACTCACTACTTCGCTATACAGAAAGAAAACGGAAACGCTACTGAGTTCCTCTATGTATCGGGGGCCGCACTGCACAACGAAGGCGAAGCGAGCGGATGGAGACGAACGGACGAGAGCGAGGGACCTCCCGCCGGCAGACATGGACTCCGCACTCTGATCCATACTCAAACACGTACCGGTAGCCTCGCTTGGCTTCTTGCGCAGTGTCTGAGCCGGAATCAGTGCTCTCAGCGCTATAGTCCACGGTCTACCAGATCCTGGGGCGGAGGGCGCAAGCTCCCTCCACTGCCGTTCGCATCGCTTCGCATCCGATGCACATGCATGGCACCCAACAGAAAGATAGGGAGAAAGAGAGAGAGAGACAGAGATATAGATGGGATGTGCTACCTTGATTGGATTTCCAGCTCCTCCCTTGTTGGAGTCTTCACTTGAAGTGAAAGTGCTACTCGTATCGATCCCAGAGTCCTTGGGGAAGTCCAACTCGTACTCGTCTTCGGATTCAGGTACACCGTTTTTATCACAGCCGGGATCATTGTGGAAGAATCGGACACTTTTCCTCGGTTGTTTCGGCTTGGAATCGTATGGCAACGAGTCCACGTAACTTAGGGAACGCCTTCCCTTTTCACGCTCTCCTACACGTCACAGCAAAATAGAAACATGCTTTTTGACCTATTGACCTATTCCCTGGCTTGTTTACCCCGTCGAAAGGCCTGGCAGGGGGTGATGGGGGAAGGAGAAAAGGCGAGTGAGCAAATCAATGGACGGAAAAGGAATTCACAGGTAACGGATGCAAGCGAAGACACATTAACATTGCCGAAAGACTTTCTCACCGCCAGAAATTTCTTAATTTTAGCATCCAGAATTTCCTCTTCTTTTCGCTTCTCACTCATGGGTTCCCCTTCTCCTGGATCATCGTCGATCGATAGAAACGGAGAGATACCAGGAATGCCAACAGGGAGGGCAGGGAAGACGAGAAGGAATGTATCACTCACCCTTTTCACTCACACTCTCACTTTCAATTTCTTGATCATCACAGCTTGTGCACTCTGGCGTAGACCTTACTTCTTCGTCTGAACTGGAGAAAGACCTAGGGAAACGAAGATCAAAAGTCGGATGAGCCTGCGTCACGATGAATACACATTTCACCCGAACAGCGCAATACCTCTTGTTCTTTCCATGCGATTCGTTATGCGATTGGATCTCAAATTGGAAAGAGAACAACGTATTCTGATGACAGACCTTTGGGGAAGGCGTTTTTCGCGCCGATTTTTGTGAGGTTTCGGCGGAGGAGGACGAACATTTTCAGACTGGTCCGAGCTGAGCGAATCGTTCCTGATGACCGGAAGCGGGTGGCCCTGCACGGGGCCGGGTCGCTTCCTATCCCCGGGGAGAAACTCAGGCCTGGCAGGGTGCTGGCCGGGAAGGTGACGCCTCAGTTGAGGCAACAGGCGCTGCGGGGGATGCGGCGATTGCTGCGGCTGCTGGGGCGGCGGTGCGGGTTTCTGCTCAGGCTGCGAGGGGTTCCGTTGGTAATTGAATTGCTGGGGCGAGGGCAGCTGGTGGCGGTGAGGGTGGAAGTTGGAGGGGTTCATGTCTTCGCCTCCGTCGCTCATGCTCCGACGTTGGAGCGGAGGGGGACGCCTGACAGCGACAGTCACAGCGAAATTATGATCGAGATGATTTTCACCGGCGAGGGGGATTGGATCCGTTAACAGATTAGGGTCTAACCTATAGGGAGCAGGAGTGTGTCCGGGCTGGACGTTATCGTGCGAATATTGTCGTACGAGTTGAGTATGCATAGGCGAAGGCCGATGATACATGCTAAGATTCGGGACGAACATGGAGGGGCGATTCTCCTTTTCGGAACTCGTCCCCCTCTCCAACTTCGGCCGCTTTTCACTCAGAGATGTCGGAGTGGCTGGGATCAATTCCCCGGGGGACATGACATCCGAGGAACCCGACGGGCCGCCCGTGTGAATCCACTGACCAGTTTTTATCAACAGTTCCTGCTTTTTCCGGCACAAGATGCATACCCATATCGCCTGGAGAAGTAGGAAGGAAAAATTTAATTGAATAATGACCTCAAAAGTATGTTATTTCAAAATATATTTTGAAGTAGACTTCGCAATCAGCATCATCCCCTTCCTCGACGAAAGCATGATGACAAATTCCCCTACGATAAGAGAGGATGGGGAGATGTAAACATAACAAGAGGATGGGGGCAGGGAGATGGCCCTCGACGCATGCATGAGTGAGGTAATAGTCCAGGGGGTGACAGAAAGCATTTACTGGGAGGGAATGTCCTTGAGAGAGAGCTGCAACACTGCAGTGCAGCACCCTGACCCTATAAGAGTGAAGCGCGGGGGAAAGGGAAGGATGGCGAGGGATGAGGAAGGACGGTAATCGATGGCATCACGGTTGCCAGATTCGCCATCCTTCTCTCCCGAAGTTTTTTCTTTTTCCTCTCTTTCTTTCCATCTCCTCTGACCGGACATGCCATGGTGTCCCTCCAACCCCCTCTCCTCTTTCTTCTCGCTTTGTCTGCCTTCTCGCTCGATGACGTGTGAGCACACTAACCTTATTTGATCGCAGAGTCACTTTGCCCCCGCATCGAGCGCAGCATTTAACTTGGCAGTAATGGCAGGTGTGGCCAATCCCATCGGCGAATTTGGTCTTCAAACAAATCTGGCAGGTGGCCGTGAAATCGATTCCCGCTCGTCTTTGCTCCTCGTTGCGTTGACGAATCGTTTGTTCCAGCGTTTCGACCTCGGTCTGCTTTTTCCTGGAGGGAGAGAGAGAAAAGTGCAGCTGGTGAAGACAGGAGATAGAGAGCTTCCTGGCCTACCTCCAATCTAATTCACCACGGGTCATTAGAAAGGGAAGAGGGAAAGGCTTCCAAGATGTCTCATGTGAGATCAATCAGGGTAGGAACCAACAGGGGTGTCATAATCGTGATCGAAAGTGCAGAGTCTCGAGGTATCTCATTAATGGGGAGTACAAGCGGGGTAATTATAGGAGTCTAGAGGATGTTTCCGACGGAGAGACAGGGTGGGAGGGCGGGAGGGAACATGCGCAGCCTAGCCCATCGGCACTCCCGCAGCAATCCCCGTCTCAGCGGGCCGACCTGCTTCCCAGGCGTATCGTACCTCTCGAGATCGGCTTTCCTTCCTCCTCCCTCTCTTCCCATTCCCCCCTCTTTCCCTTCCCCCCCTCGGCGGAGAATCCCGTTATCCAATTGAAGAAGTCGGCCGTCGCCTCCGGAAATAGGCACGCTGAGCTCGATATAGACTTGCTGTCGCCGCTAGTTCAAGAGAGACGCCTACTAGTGTACATAAATGCCCACACATAACCCAACGTTTGCTCTCATGTCTTCATTCCGCCCACACGAAAAGGGGAATCGGAGATTCATGAGAGCCACCATTAAGCACGTCGGGACCCACTTTTTCTCCAGATTTGTAACTTGCACAGTGGATAAAATACATTATTTAGATTTTTAAAAGACATGCTGCCACTCTTGCAAACTTTTCCTGGGTCCATATCAATGATCTAACAAGCGGGAGGGGATATGCAACCCATTGATTTTTCAGAAAAGCGAGGATTTTTCCCTTTTCAGATTGAAGAATGACAATGGAGGCTCATTCAATCAGAAAAAGGGCGAATTCTTGCTTACTAAAAAAAATTCCTAAGCAACATATTGCAACGAGCATGCAAGTAAAATATAAAATTCACCTTTTCTGGTAAAAGGTAAAAGTGTTTTCTAATGAGAACCTGAGCACCATGGACTCCGGTGCTTATATGAGGGAATCCAGAAGCCAAAAGTTAATTGTCCAAGAAATCGAAAAAGATTTTTTCCATTGCGTTAATATCTAATGTGAATCTAATCTTCTGAACAACTTTCATATCGAAAATAAAATACCCAACGATCTAATAAATAAAAAAACACGCGAGTAAAGCGGACACTCTTAGAAAAGAGTGAGCGATTTCCGAGAAAGGGAGCAAAACTGGAGTTAGCGATTTTACTCCCCTAAAACAAGGAAATAAATTCGCTCACCTCTTTCTTTCCTGAGAATAACCACTAAATTTTCCTTATAGTTTGAAAAGTACTCTCCCTCTTTCGTTTCGCGCTCTTAAAAAAGTTATGGATTCTGCTCATATAAAGGAGTAGTTATCGATTGTACTTCTTCGTTTTTAGGGTGTAAAATCGCAAACTCCAATTTCGCTCCCTTTCCGAAATCGCTCACTCTTTTCTAAGAGTGTATTACGCCGGAGACAAGAGCGTCGTCATTGACGGCGGGGGGAGTCCTCACGGAGGGGAGTCCTCGCCCTTTACGGAAAAATCACTCGTGTGAACAATCATGTGATTTTGGGACAGTGTGACCCAGTGCGCCCCATGTGACTGAGTCTCATGGGGCGCTTTATCAGTTCACGGTTATCTATAACAGTAGTGAATATTTTTTTTTAATGAAGGGTAGAGGATAATGCTATGAACGTTCCTGGAGTAATATGGACTGCTGTCAAGGAACTTCCTCGGAGGTATCTATAAATACATGCATTTTTTATATTCTTTTCCCGACAGAACCATCATAGCTTCCTCCAAATTCTAACAAGAAAGCCAGCACAAGATTCTATCCTGATTCTATTTCTGATGCCTGTACAGATACTCAAGCTCCCACCAATCCGATGAGATATGGGTGTGACTTAGGGTGTAATGGGATGTGAGATGGTCAATCACATGGTAGATCACATGCCTCTCACATGTGACACAGCATGTGATCGGGGGTGATTTTTCCATGAGGGCCAGGGATGTCCTCGCGACTCCCCCTAAGCGACCGGGGACTGCCTCTTCCGCGACTCGGGGCGGGGAAGAATCCCGACCTGCCTTCAGGAACTTGGTTTGTCGCGTGGCTTCTCACCATCACGAATGCAAACAATTTGATCCCTCCGCGATGAATGATGAATGAGAGTTTTGTCGAAGCCGCACTCATCGCATTGCTGCTCTCGCTGCGATTTTCTTTGCTCTCTGCTTTGCTTCGATGCAGGTGATATTATGAAGGGAATAAATCTCGAATTCCCGTCGCTGCCTCCGTTTCGATTAAAATATTATGCCATATCGAAAAGATGTGAATTCCTTGAGAATTTTTGCTGTGCTCTATTAGCGTGAATGAAGAGAATTTGCTTGTGAACTGCGTTCCTTTGGGTTTCCCTTGCATTCATCTGGGATTCATTCAAAAATTTTTGAGCAACTTTGAAAACAGGCAACAAGTGTCGTCATTTAGTCGTGCTACTGCTTAAATTGGCAAAATAAATGCCCCAACAATTAAAACAAAGGCAGTTACGGCATACATATCGTGCCAAAGAGAGGCCAATGTTCCATTTAAAAAAAAAGGGACTGTCATGGAGCTTCACCCATTAGAGACACTGCACGAGAGTGGACCTAGCGTGACAGGTGATAAAAATCGGTCGTGAACTTTGCAAGGGAGGGATCGATTTTCTTCTCTTTGATGATTAGAGCCAATGAGGGCAGAGGGGAAACACCTCGCGCGTTCCCTAGATGGAATTTTCGTGGCGCGATATGCGTCAGCAAAAGTGGATTCATCAGTCACAGGAGACGCAGATCTTGATGAATCATCCGGGTGAGCACGCAGCAGCCGACCCGTGTGATCCATCCACGTGTCCGCCTGTGAGCCGCCTGTGAGTCATCCCATTCCCGACTCCAGACCACCGTTCGCCATCTGGCATGAGCAATGTTTCCTGCTGCTCCGGGATGGAAGAACTTCGAATGGGACGTTAACTAACGGCGACAGACTATTATGCATGCAAGATCCCTCGAAAGAACCGCGATAGTTGCGTTGACGACGATCGGCTTGTTGTCGTAACTAAAAAGGATCTACAGAGGTCCAGAAAAATGCGGCAAAATTTCGCAATCCGCTCCAACTCGAAGGAAGAAGGCGTAGCCCTCTTGCGTTAAAACAACGTAATAGGTGTCATCACGAACACGGTTTCATTCCATCGAATCCTCGTCTCACCGTCCATCAATCGAATCGAATCGATGAATCCGGAACGATACGTTGCGCTTCAACTGAAACGCATTAGCTCGGGGACGCAGAGCTTCTCACTCCAGCCTTTAAAAACTGGAGCTGAGAGACCCCAGAATCATTCCACAATACTCTGCCAGATATACGGGTAGCATTACAGAGACTTTTTAACGAGCAAGTATAAAAGCAAGCAAAGAATTCCATTTGAGTGCAGATGCAAAGAGACAGGCCTGTCAGCATGGAATCAAGTATGACGAAGTGAGTACTTTCGAGAATCCCGTCAAGGCAGAAGGCACGGTAATGCAGCGCATCGACCATCCTGGTTCTCATCGCCCCTTCATGAAGCCCTTCATAAAATTCATAAAGTCGTTCATAAAATTCATAGAACCTGTGGGGGCCATGCCAGAGATCTCTTTTTTTATGTGGGGGTGGGCAGACCCGTTCCTCTCATCTAAATCTAAATCTATGGGGGTCGCTCAATCGAGTAGCTTCCGGAAGACCACCGACGGAAAGTCGTATTAACAGTCAGCATCTGATAAATGAATGCATGTTCATTCCACACTATACCTCCCCGGCAATTTCCTCATCGACTTCCCCGTCTAAAAATACCACTCTCCGGGCCATTAATCTACAGGCCCTTGTATGACTTCGCCGCAGCCGAATCAATCACTTCGGCACCATGAGTTCGGGTCCCTGCATTCACTCTTTAATGGCAGGGGAATGTGTGGTGCATTCAGAAAGTACCGATCAAGTGGCTGTCATTAACCGTCCGATCGATGCAGGCTCGAACTTGTCCATTCGTGCGAAAGGTCTACCTGTGGCGTCACATCGGTGCGAGTCTGAACTCGTTCGAACAAAGACTTCGCCAGCTCCTTTCCCTCGACCTGTTTTGAGCACTGGTTGAAGATGCAGGGATTTCTTTTTTAGTTCCGCAGGGAACCATCATCGAGTTTTTGACGCAGCCAGGGTATCGAGTATCGAGTCGAGTTTTGCTTTGCCTATCGGTCCCCGCCTTGAGAAGATGAATGAAATCTTTCAAAGTCGGCAGAGAACGCGTTGAAGATGATTCACGCCGAGGACGACATCCGACGAGCAACACGTGACAAGATCAGCGACCTTGCGGTCGTCACAGAAGACAGGCACCAACCGATCGAGGAAGCGCCGGCACAGGGCCCCATTTGCCCGGGATCTCCTCGCGCCATTTCCGCCGAGGTCAAGCATCCCTCACTATGGATGAAACCTGTGTACTCCTCCGAGTACCTCTCTGGGTACCTCTCGACAACCCTGGGACCGATCCCTGCGAGCTAGACGAAGGCAGGCACGAGGATCGGCTTACCTTCGGCCTTGCCTCGCTGAGAGCCTTTCGAAAATGGCCGAAGCAGCGCGCAAAAATGTGGGCGGTGAAAGGCGAAGTTGAGATGCGAGCACTAAGCAATTTTTTTCCTTGCAACGATGGCCAAAATTATTGCATCGATTTTCTTCGAGTCTGTGAATCCAACGCAAAAACTCTCGCATGACACGATGAAATGGTCTGTTATTGCTTCAGCTTTACCGATGAAAAGGGTCGCATCTCAAGAATATCACCCAGTTATTATCCCACGATACTCGGGGGCAGTAACTTTGAAAAACTGGGCAAGAAATGTCATTTCATGACATCATAAAGCCCATAGGAGGAGCAACAAAATATCGCATGGATATGACTACGTATTTTTAATGTGTGGAGTCGGATCTGTGGGTGAGAGAGAAGGCCGCTGGTGTGTCAGTGGCCGAGTTTTCATTCAACAATCCCGGCCAAGGATCGATGCCTGTTTGACGTCACGCTCCTCCCGCCCTCTC